CTGACTGCTCGGTGAAAACGGGGCTTTAGACACACAGATACAGACAAACAGACAAACCTTGGCCTTGGTGAGTTTGAATTCTTTGACATAGTTGAAGACTTTTGCAGAGAACGGAGTGATGGCCCTCAGGAAGGATTTCCCATGTACCACAATCCTGCCACACACAGACACACACACACATGAAAAGTGTCAGCTGAAATCTGGGGCTAAAAAAATATACAGATATTCAAAACTATGCAAAAACATAGCAGATTCCCTTCATGTCCTTCTTCACATCTCAAGCTTCTCTCCTCACGTCCTCCCTCTCACCCACTCATTTCTGTCTTCATTCCTCTTCCCCTCCTGTCGTCTGTCTCTGTCACACCTACCTGTCATAAGCACAGGTGGTGTCCTCGGTGACGGTGGTGTCCACTTTGTCTCCGATCAGCCAGAAAAAACTGGAGTTGGTGAACAGTCTGATCTTTTTCTTGTCAGCTCGCGTCATGTGGGCACAGCCGGCGTGGAAATCTCCCAGGAACATCACATTCTACACAAACACACACAATCGCTATTATTATCGCGACTGGTTCAAGCTGTTGCTCGACTGCTGTTTGAAGGTACGAGCAGAGTCAAACACTTTACTGTCTCACTGCTTGATTAGTTTTAAACATATTAAAAAGTGGAAACTAAGACTGTAATACAGTGTTGGGCAAGTTCATGGGCAGCCCCCTCACTCTGACATCTCTCCATTTAATGCATGTAAAAGGTCCTGTTTGTGCATGTGTGCATATCAGTGTTGCTCTGCAGCTGTAGGAGATGTGAATGGAAACACACCCAACATATACTAACATCACCCAGATGTGCCGATCACCAGGATGAGAAGAAAACAAACTGGAGTCCAGCTCCTTATCTCCGCTGCTTTCAGGCAGCCTTAGGACGCAGAAGAAGAGTGGGATACGCTGAGGACATTATATTAATGGAAACACACTGAACCTGATCACACACAGTACAGCGTCACCCGGATGTGCCGACCACTGGCACCCTTCTATAGTCTGTGGTGACATGACAACACACAACAACCTTGGGGGGATGTTTTTCTGGTGACGCACTGGTGCAAGTGGAGCGATGTGGATCAGTGTGGGTGAATGAACGATGAAGTCAATAAACAGTTTATTTCAGATGGTAACGCATTATGTGACATTGTGAATGTGATAATATTACCCCACATCCTGCTGGTAATGTGTTACTCTACTCTGTTACTGCTATAACTAGGGATGGGCAGCACAAGCAAAAACACTATTCGAAAATCATGGCAAGTATTCGACGATTTTTCAAATAATCACCTCCCCCCCTCCCC